TCAGGATAGCCTGTCCATTTCCCTTTCTCAGAGTCATAACTTGCTTTCTTTTCCCCTTTGGGAGATTCCACCTCTCTATGAAAATTTTGTTAGTGTCTTAATGAAAAGCAGTGTATGTTTATATAGAACTTTCCAATAGGAATGGCAATGGGGTGGGGATCATATTCCCCATCCTGACCCCGATTATGAAATTAACCCCCGCCCCCATCCCCGATCCCCTCTGGGGATAAAATGTCCTCCATCCCCGATCCTTGAAATTTTTTTAGATAATGGTATTTATTTGAAAAATAAATTTACTTAAAATAAATAAAAATTTTAAATTATAGGAGAATTTACCGCCCAACCAAGGTTATAAAAAAATACCTCCAAAAGCACTGTACTCATTTAAAAACATCGGAATTTTATACCCTTCAAATACAAATTTCTGTCAACTCCACTGGCCCACACCCATGTCACCCCCATCCTTTCATAGTATAGGGAAATACCCGGAATACCCCTTGGACCCACTTGACTCTCGACCCTTTATAGAAAAACCTAGAAATACCCCTTTAACATCTCGCCACGGTTAAAGGTAAACATTTAATTTTCTCTCTCCTTCCATATTTATCCACTTAACTAACCTAACTACCCAAATCATTAATTGGTGAATTTTCTCCCTTGGGTAATTATTCTTCTCACATCTATATTTACTTTCATTCCAGCCTCCTATCGACCCAAGGTCCTTCAGTTCTTCCGATCACCGGCGTTCTTTCTGTTCTTTAATTAAACCGGTCCAATCTTGCAACAGACAGGGAGAAACTGGAAACAATACAAAAAATTCTCTCCCGCGGTAGGGCTGCCACTTTCCTTCCTGTTGGACAAGACGTAAAGTTCTGTAAAGAGAACCTTGCAGAGAACATTACAGAGAACCTTGCAAAGGACTCTGAAGAAGACGACAGAGGTTATTTAAAGGGGAATTTTCCTTATTTAAAGAGAACTTTGTAGAGAAGCATTCGTTTGAAGCAGACGATAGAGTTTCTGCAAAGAAGACACAGAGAAGAACCATTCGTTTTTAGTTTCTAAAATCTAGTGTTACTTACTCATTTCCACCCCACATTCGAAGACCGAACTTGTTCATACAATGTAAGATTCTAACTCTCTTTCTTTCTTCTCTGTCATTCATTCCATTTTCGCTCTTTTTTTGTCTTTATTCTTCTTTGTAACTCCCACTTCCCTTCATCTGCCTCGCTGGGATGACAACGACAAACTGAGCAGCGACAACCATTTTTTCCCTTGTTTTCTAAGTTATGAATCAAACTAATATCGTGTAATAACACTTAACTGACTTAGTGGTCATCATTTTTGTTAGGTATTGCGGTCTCTAAATTGAAATAGCCACATACTTTTCTTTTTACATTTATGTCTCTCACTTTCCTCATGTTCTTCCATTTTTTTTTATCTTGTTTAGTTGTTTCGAATGGAAGAACCCTTCAAGGTCGAAGTATCCTTACTTGATATCCTCAGGCGAACTTTTGCTGCTTGCTACCTCCCATGTCCGAGATTTACTATAAATACAGTGGGCAACAAATTTTATGCAGTCGTCACTGTGACTGCGTGGGGCGATGTGAGAAGCTTCTATGGGGATACAATTGATACGCCTGATGCATCGGTTGAAATGGCTGCCCGAGTGGCCATCCAATATCTGCAATCATTCCTGCGGATCAACATAAGGGATGCAAACTTCAATGCCATGAAAGAGTACCAGTGCATTTGCCTTGAACGGGAGGCCGAACTACAGGAAGTGAGGACATAATATCTAGCATTGAGATGCGATTTTTTAAAATTGCGCGACGAGGTCGAACGCTTGCGGAATATCGCTACACAAAATGATCGAAGTGGCCACCATTAATGAGATTGGATTATGTCTAAATGACCGGATGTTTAGACCGGATCAAACATTTTTTGTGTAATTTGTTTATTTATATAAACGAATCACACGTTTCGTTTTTCTTTATTGATAACTATATTTTTATTTGATTAGTCTCTTATGTGTTATGTTAATACGTTTATCCACCTCTACCACAAATGATTTCTCTTCCTAAATGCTTCATATATACATATTTCCATATGCAGCAATGAACAACAACGAAATCAAATCTAGATTGTATATTGTCCAGTCATAACATAACATATATAAATCTTTGACAACTATCCTCCGTTACTAAAAAAAATGAGTAGACATTTTATGAAAAAATGACATAAGTTCGACAAGAATCATATCTTTACTAATGAATTACGTTTACAATTAAAACTGGTTTATTGCAAACCTATAAAGACAATGTAGATGTGTGTCAGCCTAGTGCAATCCACATTTGGTGGATTATTGTATACCTAGATGGATTGGCTCACCGGTCATTCAAGTGTATATGCCGGAGGCATTCGGGCCCTGAAGAGCCTATCTAAGGGCCCGTTCACCTTCGGATGTGGGAGGACACGACCGATAGGTGTTAACGTGTTGTGTGCATGGGATCACTGTTAATTGTGTTTTAGCCTATTGTAGTCCACATTTGGTGGATTATTGTATGCACATATCGAGATGGATTGACTCACGGGTCTTTCTTGTGTATGCCCCGGATGCCTCAAGAATTGGCTCAGCCTACCTCTAGTCCTGTTCACCTTCAGGCAGGCGGACGCAACCAATATGTGTGAACGTGTGGTTTGCATGAGATCAGTACTGTTGTGTGTTTCAGCTTAGTGTAGTACACATTTGGTGGATTATTTTATGCACATACCGAGATGGAATGACTCAATGGTCATTATAGTGCATGTGCCGGAGGCCTCAGGGACCAGACTAGTGAAGTCCACATTACAGTATGTGTGGATATGTCATCATAAGTATTTACATATCTGCACAACCTATATAGTAAGCCACATCAACGCCACACGTGTTTCATTTGGATGTCGGGTTCGGTCAGTGCAAGGCCCGTTCAAACACACATCAGTTRGTGTTATTACACGATATTAGTTTGATTCATAACTTAGAAAACAGGGGAAAAAATGGTTGTCGCTGTCGTCCCAACGAGGCAGATGAAGGGATGTGGGAGTTACAAAGAAGAATAAAGACAAAAAAAGAGCGAAAATGGAATGAATGACAGAGAAGGAAGAAAGAAAGAGAGTTAGAATCTTACATTGTATGAACAAGTTCGGTCTTCGAATGTGGGGTGGAAATGAGTGAGTAACACTAGATTTTAGAAACTAAGAACTAATGATTCTTCTCCGTGTCTTCTTTGCAAAAACTCTATCGTCTGCTTCAAACAAATGCTTCTCTACAACGTTCTCTTTAAATAAGGAAAATTCCCCTTTAAATAACCTCTGTTGTCTTCTTCAAAGTCCTCTGCAAGGTTCTCTTTGCAGAACTTTATGTCTTGTCCAACAGGAAGGAAAGTGGCAGCCCTGCCGTGGGAGAGAATTTTTTTCTTTGTTTCCAGTTGCTCCCTGTCTGTTGCAAGATTGGACCGGTTTAATTAAAGAACAGAAAGAATGCCAGTGATCGGAAGAACTGAAGAAGGACCTTGGGTCGGTAGGAGGCTGGAATGAAAGTAAATATAGACGAGAGAAGAATAATTACCCAAGAGAGAAAATTTACCGATTAATGATTTGGGTAGTTGGGCTAGTTAAGTGCGTAAATATGGGAGGAGAGAAAAAATTAAATGTTTACCTTAACTGCGGCGGGGTGTTAAATGAGGGGTATTTCTAGGTTTTTCTATAAAGGGTCGAAGAGTTAAGTGGGTCCAAGGGGTATTCCAGGTATTTCCCTATACTATGAAAGGATAGGGGGGTGACGTGGGTGTGGGCCAGTGGAGTTGATGGAAATTTGTATTTGAAGGGTATAAAATTCAGAAGTTTTTAAATGAGTACAATGCTTTTGGAGGTATATATATATGCATAATCGGGGTCGGGGTCGGGGCGGGGTGGGAACCTCAATCCCCATCCCCGACCATTACCCCGATCAGGGATTCCTATTAATCCCCTCCCCGTCCCCGCCCCGCCAAAACAATCCTCATCCTCGACCCCATCGGGTCGGGGAAATTGGGTCCCCGTCAGGGATGGGGAAAATTGCCATCCCTACTGTTCAGTTCCTTTAAAGGCTCGTTAGTCGTTAGAATGATGATATGAAGCCACCACCTCCTATATCATGTAAGTAACCTTGGAGGCTGTTCAACGTATATTGGAGTGGTATTTGTTCTGGATACTTGTATATCTTTGAATTTTGTAACTCTAAAGTGAAGGGATGCTTGTTATTTATTTATTTTTACGTAATCCCTTCTTTTTCTCAATTAATAAAATGTTATGGTTATCAATTAAGGTCATTACCCAATGTTGATCCTAGACATCTGGGGTCTTGGGAGGGGTGGACAGTAGACTGGATACGGTCTACTGTTTGTACAAAGTGCCCGCTCTCAGACTCAAACCTGTGTTCTCATGCTTGACAGACCGACATTTTACCATTACACCAAGTTAGGGTTACCGATCAAAAATAAAAAAAAGGATGCCTATCTTAGTTGCATTTATTACAACAAAAATGAGTAATACTTATCTTTGGTTCTTGTTATCTGGATTTGTACATGTTAAAAAGATCCCTACTGGCATTGCAAAGATGAGATAACTTTTTGAAGTGAGTTTTAAATATTTTAATTACACCAGCCAATTATGATAGTTGAAGCTAAAAAATAAAACTCCTTGTGTCTAGGAGAAATTTTTTTTAGTTCATAAAAGAACTAATTAGGTTTTCTATGTAACATTCCAGCATATTACTTGTTTCACATACCAAAGTCTTTTGTTATCTAGTAGTGATTATTTTCAAAATGTTAAGTTCCAGGTTCATCCTTCATGTCCACTTATCTTCTTGGCTTCAGATGCAACATCGCTCTTTGAGTTTGAGATTAAAATTTAGTTAAGCCATTGAACCAACATTGCTTTTTTCATAAATTGGTTCCAACTTCACATTTGGTGCTTTTCAGGTTGCATTTCTTCATTATATTCAGCAGTGGAAGAAAAAAGTCGTATTTGTGTTGAACAAATCTGATATCTATAGGACTACCAGCGAGGTCTAACTATGCCTTTGATTTGGATTTTATTCTTTTTATTTCTTCAGTTCTTTTTTCCTTGTTTCTGAATCCATCTAAAGCCTGTGTTTGTGAACCTTTTTCCTCCCTACCAGAAGTTTTTCTTTTACATGCAGCTGCCTAGTGATCCTTACTGTTTGTTTTATCCTGTTTTTATGTGATTGCTGTGCAGCTTGAGGAAGCTATTGCATTTATCAAAGAGAACACAGGGAAACTGCTCAATGCAGAAAATGTGACATTATATCCTGTATCTGCACGGTCTGCACTTGAAGCAAAACTTTTAGCTTCTGCAAGTGCTGGAAAAGATTATGAAGAATTGTTATGGGGTAATCCTCATTGGAGAACCAGTTGCTTTGATGACCTTGAAAAGTTCTTATATAGTTTCTTGGATGGTTCAACAAATAATGGAATGGAAAGAATGAAGCTTAAGCTTGAAACACCAATTAGGATTGCAGATCGGTTACTTTCTGCTTGTGAAGTTCTTGTCAGAGAAGATTGCAAATCTGCCAATCAGGATTTAACCTTGGTTAATGAAATGGTTAATAGTGTAAAACGGTATGCCGCAAAGATGGAAAGTGAGAGTCTGTCTTGGAGGAGACAGACTTTATCACTGGTAAGCTCCTGGTAGAATCATATTATTTGTCGACCATATATAAATTTAATTTTGTTTCCATTATTTCCTTTTTTTATTTCTTTTGAAGGGCTACACAGCGGAGGGTAGCCCATCCCCCACCCCAGGTGCAGGCGGGATTCGATCCCAAGTCTCCGCTACAACCAGCAGGAGACCTTACCAACCAGCTGGTTGGCACCTTGTAAATTTTATTAAAACAATGGAGATGGAGGGGATCGGACCCTAGTTTCCATTATTTCCACCTTGGTGGCATGTCCTTTTTCAACTTTGAAATTGTTTATGAGGTAGCACCTGTATATTTACTGTGCAGATTAATAATGCAAAAGGACGAGCTTTGAAGCTTGTTGGATCTACTCTTCAATTGTCAAATCTTGATCTTGTTGCTTCCTATGTTTTCAAAGGCGAGAAATTGGGTTCAATGCCGGCCACCTCAAGCATTCAAAATGAAATTATAAGCCCTGCACTTTCTGATGCACAAGTAAGTTTATTGATCTATACTGAGCAGGAAATGAACCTTGAGATTTGTTTTTTTTAATGCCTGTTTACAGGGAACAACATTCAGTTATCGGCTTGATTAGCAAAGTCAATTTTGTAGGCCAATAAAGAAAGAAAATAATAAAATCAGGCCTCAAACTTAGTTAAAAGAGAACCAAACAACATCGTCTAGAATTGGAAGCTAGAGGTTTACAGCAAAAATTATGTCAACAGAGAAATCTAAATTGATGTGCAATCCATCAATTAGAAATGCTCTGGAATATATCTACATTTGTTTTTTACCATGGGCAATGTAGAAAGTATATAAAGTCATAGACTCGTTCTAAATTGAGATGCCTCTAGAAAAATCTGGGAAACCACTTTATCTTTGGAAAACCAAGGATCACAATATTAGTAGTAAGAACTAGCATGATTGAAGCTATCATTTCAGAGGGGTAACATTAGAGTTGCAGTCCATCTAATTCTAACCAGATAATTGGGATAGATGGGGCCTGGATTTGAAAAATTCTGGAAGAATTTTTTCTTGATGATTCCATAAGAAAACTAGTTAGTCTTAACCATGGAAAAGGATTTGAAGACTCAATTGTGAGGGGAGTACAGTGTAAGGAACCTCCCATTACCCTCCACTAGAGGTTTCCTAGTTCTCAATAGAACTAATCCATGGTTACCTCAACCTCAAGACTCCCCAAAACTTCACTAAACTAAGCTAAAATAATGTTTGATTAGAAACCAAAACAAGAATACTTCAATGAACATGACCAATCATACAATTCATTGACTCTCTTAGGAATTTCTACATTAGTGTAGAACAACTAATTCTCAGGTATTCAAGCATAGTTGCCTTGAACCCTTGAAGACTTCATAACTTGAACTTATAAGCATGGAAGACCCACCATCCAGCATTTCTCATAGTTGGCAGCTGTTATTTGAACAGGCCCTAACTTGAACTTGTTTTGCCTTCAACTAGTTGGTCTGGTTTTTCATGGTTTGCTCTTCTTTCTGTTGTTTTGGCATGTAGAAACTACTTGGGGAGTATTTGATTTGGTTACAATCAAGTAATGTTCGTGAAGGAAGACTCTACAAGGAATCATTTGAGAAAAGATGGCCGGAATTTGTCTACCCACACAATGAAGTGCAGTTGGAGGCTTATGAATTGCTAAAGAAGGGAGAGGAGCTTAGCCTAAAAGTAATAGAGGACTTCAATGCTAGTGCTGCAGCAAAACTTTTTGAGCAAGAAATCCGTGAAGTGGTCGGTATAAAATTCTCAAGAAAGAAGATTCACTGGTCACTGGCCCCTGTTATCTCTCTCTCTCTCTCTCCCCCCTGTAGCCTCTTTTTGGGTTTGACCATTTGATTGATTGGTTGATTGGATATTTTTGATATTAAAATCATATTAATAAATAGAAATTATGAACAGGAGTCATGGGACTGTCTTGGCCTCTGGGTGATGGGTCAAACGGTTCAATCATCTGGGCAGTGCTGGGTTGAAAAAACTGATTTTAGGCAGGGTAACTTAAACGCATGGTTTTGCAGTTCTTTTCTTTCTTTCCTCTCTTTTAATTTTTTTAATTGAAAAGCATGGCAGAGGATATGTGGTTTGTAAGTTCAACCTAGTGGTGGGCAGGGGTAGAGGTCCTGGGGTGTCCCCCCTCCTCTCGACATTTTCCTTGCTCTGCATTTGATGCTGGGAGTATGTCAAGTTTTGTCATTTTGTCAACATCATGTTTATTGAAGCATGGATTCAGTGTGCAAATGGATAAAAGAAAATTGTTAGTTGTAAAATCTATTATTGGTTTATTGCAGAAAACAACAATACAAACCAATTATGGCCTCTATTCTTAACTTAGGATGCTTAATATTGGAGGTATTAACATATAAAAAAATCAAACTTCGTTTTCAGTGTGTGAGGAAAATGCTTTCTTAGAGATTTGCAGATCTAATAAATGAATAAACCTGATTCTTGTCTCAAGTTGAGGCCTTGCTACCTCCCCCTATGTTCTCAAATATCAACCTATACTCTGTGGCTTACCTTAAGAAAATGGCTAATATAAGTTTTCATTAAATTTTCAGGTTTTGGGGACTTTTGGAGGACTGGGGGCTGCAGGTCTGTCTGCTTCCCTGCTAACTTCTGTGCTACCAACCACATTGGAAGATCTTCTTGCTCTAGGCCTTTGTTCTGCTGGCGGGTAATATATCTTTTTATTCTGATATTCATGTTGCACTTCTTTTACTGAAGGTTCTTGATGAAAATGTGGGGTCATCTTTCTACTTTTTCCTGTTTGACATCATTTATCTAACTGGAATCCTCTGTATACAGCTATGAAGTCTGATCATCAAATAGATTAGAGGTGTTTGACAGTTCATTTTAGCTGTTATTGACTTATTCCAGACACTAAGCTGTTTGTTAGGTGTCTATAGGTCCATGTGAATTACTAGAAGGATAACTATATTTCTCCTTTGTTGAATACCTCTTGGTTCTTGTATGCTTTTTCCCTCTCTCTTTTTCTTTTATAAATTCTCCATATAAATCAAGAAAGAAAAAGATCAGAGTAATGATTTCTAACTGTAGTGTACCGGTGTCATCACCCTATATATTTTTTTTCCATATTTTCATTATTGTCTTATAAATGAATACGACCTGAAATTATCCCAGAGTTCCTACCAGAAACATGCAACTCATAGATCGTTAATTATGTATTTTCAGGGTATTTATGATTGGATTAAGATTCATACATGCATTTATTGTTTTCTTGATTGTTTGTGTTTGTTGACTCTGCTTAATTGTCATGGAAGAAATCCAACCTCCGGCAATCAAGATGGGACAAAAATGTGGCACCATATGAGTTACTTGAGTTATCTGGGTCAGGGGCCCTATATTTTAGGGCTGCAACTTGGGTCAAGTTGGATTGGGCATTTGTTTAATTTTGAATGAACCCAATCCAGAACCTGAGCTGATCTTGTTGTAGTTCTTCAAATTTGGCAACCTGATCTGCAAAGTTGTCTTCTAAATTCATGTGTATTATAGCTATGAAGAAGTGCTATAGTGGTCATTTTTAAATTTTCATCAACATAAGATGCATGAAAACTGCAATGTTTCATAAAAATTAAAAATAAAAGGCTAATGCCCTTTTAGGTGAGTTTAAACATCAATTTTCTGTTTGGTTGAGACTGTTTTGAGTTAAAAACAATCATACAACATTTCTACTGGAAACATCAACCAGAGGGTGTTGGGGGAAACGTCAAATTGATGTTTCCTCCATCAGCTTCCCATTTGAAGAAACAAAGTCCAATGACCTGGTTCTTGGTGTCCTACATGGCAGTGTAGAGATATATTATGGTGCATCACATACTAGCAAAGATGGATATAGACCATTGAATACCCATAAAACCCTATCTCCAAAACAAAGGTACTTTTATTTTTGGTTCTATGCTTCTAGAACCATTAAATCTGCATCTAGATGTTAATCTATGTATAATAATGAGCCAATCATCAGAAAAAAAAATATTTTTAATTTTGACCATCGGATGAGAGTCAGTATAGTAGGATGGTGTCACGTTGAATTTATACATTTTATTTAAATATTTTAGGTATCAATGCCAAATACCAAACACAATACTGCTCAAACAACGTGTTCAATGCCTATTCAGCGTAAGTACCAACCAAACAACTTTCGTGTCAAAACTCCTGTGTTGGTGACATGAAATGCCATTGCCTCTCTAAATGTTTGAGCCTTAAATGGTAATGGTACCGAACACAACTTTAGTTACTACTTACCATGTATCTCTCCTATACATGGATAACATTTTATTTTCATTTTCTTCCCCATTGATATAAATTGGAATATCAACCAAATTTATTTTGTATTTCTGTCTTGTGGATGATGGACAAGACAATGTGAAATTGTGAATAGCTGAAAGCATAACAAGTTCTTTTCATATCTTTGGATGAAGAAAACATGCAACTTTTGGTTTACATGTATCTGCCTTTTGGCATCTAGATTGCACAATTCCAATATTGAAGACTGATGCGACCTTTCTTTGTAATAGTTTATTAGCAATTTCAAATTTCCCCACCCGTCGAAGGGAGATGGAGGATAAGGTGAAAAGAGCAGCAGATATATTGGCACGTGAAGTCAAAGAAGCTATGCAAAGAGATCTCTTGAAGACCATTGAGGATCTTGAAAACTTTGTCAAACTCATCAGCAAGCCTTACCAGGATGCGGCACAAAGTAGACTAGACAAAATATTGGAGATTCAAGAGGAATTATTGAACGTTGAGAAAAGACTGCAAACATTACAGATTGAAATTCAAAACCTTCATGTATCTTGACGTTGTTTAGTATTAGCCACAGAAACAGAGCAAGTTCAACTCCCCTCATCCACCTCTCTTGTTATGCGTGGAGACATTCATCCTGGTGATGAATGCTGAACGGAGGCAGGATGTTGTAACGTCATTTTATCAAATTCATGTAACATGTATCAAATGGAACTACCATATTTTGTTTGTATTTGACTATCCTCCTTATGAGGATTTACAAGTTGATCAAGAGCCCAATTCCTTGATGTACTAATAGTATTAAAACCAAACCAACTAGCAATGTATTAATATTATCAATGCAAACATGTATTATGATATAAAATGAAGCAAAAATTTTCCTTTTAGATGCTGCATTCTCCTTGGTAAAGACTTAACAAATTGATTGAATAGCCAGTTGACCTGCATTTACAAAGATTGATCACTTTACCAAATATGTTATTGTCTTTACAGAGGAATATGGAAATCGACAGAACTCTTTATGTCAAATTGTTTGTATATATCCATTTGTTTGGTTTGTATTATATTCATACTTCCCCATTTTAAGTCAACTAATTTTTTTCTTTTCTGAAGTTTGTGGAACTTGATTCTTATTGAATTAGGTTGCTGCTCCCTGTTTTCATGAAAAATGCCTAGTTGCTAATGCTTATTGAGTTGGATGCACTGATATTTTCTTTGTAGGAAAGCAGGTTGGTATTTAGTTGTTAGAAAATGAAAGGTTTGTGAACTACTGCATTCTTTATCATTCTCCATACCATCTCATGGTGGGAACCACCGCATTCTTTGTCATCCTCCAGACCATCTGGCCCTTGATGAAACTAGTACATTTTGTCTGAGACAAAGCTACCAACCTCCCAAACAGAAAACCAAGGCTTATTTCTATTACCGATATGTTCATGTAAGCATGGTGGATTGATTATACAAGAATCTGTACCAAAACATGAGTCAGTGCCTTGTTGTCTGTGCCCATAATAATTCCTTCGAGGAGCACATGTGCGCTGTACCTTGAACAATTTCTTATGGAATTGACTTAAAGGCTCATTTAATGAGAAACTAAATCAACCCACCTTTTAATTAATTATACATCATCATCCTGTACATATCTTGGAGCAGCAGGAGACTCGGACTCATAAAAGATTATTCCCTTTCTTACTTCACTGGTATTGATTAGTCTGTCTTATAGATGGAAATGGAAACTAAATGTACGCTGATTATGGAAACCTTCAACGACGAACAGGGGCAGTTGCTGAATGCTGAATCAAGAAAGTGACGGATATTTCCATAAGAAAACAGTAATGATGCTTGCCAGTTGAGATTCGTTCCCGATGCTTACACACGGCTGCCTGTAAAGTTCCAGCTTTTTGTGATGTCTGCATCCTGTCGTTGAAGCTTTTCGTGGGCTCGACGAAGCATTGTGTCCATCTCGTGATTACCGAAGGAACGACCATTAGCTGATTGCCATGTTTGCATGGTTTACGTAGACATTTCCTTTTTGTTGTTTTAAGTATGAACAGTGGGAGGAAAAAAAGGTGGCACTAACATGGTCAAAAGGTAGGACAGTGCGCTCGTTTAAACTTTAGTACTTGCTTGTGTAAGCCATGAAAATGGATTCCTTTAAGCTAGCTTTCTTAGTATGAGTCTCCAGTAAAATAATTCTAAAATTATCATAAAATAAAGCGGAAAACCAGAGCTAGCTTTAAGGTCTCACTTGAGGCCTTGGGACCATGACGAAACTAGTCTAAAACAAAAGCCAGAGTGGATTGTGATTTGTGACTTGTGAGTGCTAGTTTAATGGTTCGGAGCTTTGTATTTGGAGAGGGTGGGCAAGAAGCACATATTCTCTCTTCATCCTCACAAAAGCATGTGTTTTAAGGGCCACCAAGGGTCACTGAGATGAGCTAGCTTATCTGTTTTGTTTCAGGTTATTGCATGCTGTAGGCGTAGGACCATAGAGCAGAACTTTGAGAGATACAAATACAATAAAATGTGTTCAATTAATGTTCCTAGGTTAGTGTATAGAAGCTGATGCAGAGGAGGAGGTTAGGGTTTAAGGGGTCTATATATGACTGCATGCATGGATCATGTTCAGCAGAAGTTGAAGCTGTTAAAGGCACAGTAGTATCTGTGCATTTGTTTATTAAGTGATGGATGAGATCATTGTACAGGTTAAATAGTTACTGCCGTTACTTTTAACTGTTTCCCTCCTTTTTAATGACTATAGCAAGAATAGTTTATGAGTTGTTAGTATGCTTTTTTAGTACTATTTAGTTATTTTGGCATCAATCAAATGCATAATGTATTCTATTAATGGGAACAATCGTCAGAAACGTAAAAGAAAAAGGACCCTTTGTTATGATAATTTAAGATTGTTCTTAACCCAAATGGGGGCTCCTGATCTAGTCAGTAGCATTCTTTTAGAATGTCAAAAGGTGTTAAAAGTCTCCCATCCTATTGGGTGATTATGGTCATTGAGTGGACCCATGTTTGTTTTAGATCTTATTTAATTACTGGTTAGAATCAACCAAGCTTTTTTTTTTTCTCTTTTTCTTGGGTATATTTTTGTACTAGGGCCTATTGGGTGTACTTCAGACAACCTATGGGTTTGGAATTTTCCGAGGGTTTTGAGAGGGTCAGTTGCAGCTCAATTGGATGGTTACCTGTTATTTGAATGGTTTTAGATAAAGAAGGTGATGAATATAATATTGAGAAGAAAGATATTGATGCAGATTTCTGCATGATCAATTCAATGAACGCCAACAGAAACAAGCCGCAAATGAGTTGTTCATTCATTGAATTCCACTACTCTTGGGCTTCTCTTTTTATCTCTAGATGGTCATTTTGCAATGTATTCAATTCATTTCCATACTACTTTAGTAGGCCTTAGAAAGGAAAGGAAGCCCTCTAATATAGCAACTGGGATTTAACAGCAACCGTGTTAGGGTTCGTTGTGACTTCTTTTAGACATTGTAGGGACTAGGGAGGTTCATATTCTCATGTACTCCACATGGCTTACAGAGTTAGGGTTTTGTGTGGTATTGTACTAGTGTTGTCAGTGTAGTAGCTGTGGGGTTTGTCTTCCATTTTCACTTTTAACCTTTGCCTTTTGAGGAAAAATATATGCAATTTATCATAAGTGGGCTGTGGACCTCTCTATGGTGCTCCACTGACCCATACTGACTTGGCAGACAGTTGGTTCATATATATAGAGAGAGAGGAAGGGGGTCTATGTTCATTTTTAGGTTAAAAACTCAGCCGACATAAGAAACTGTATTTTTTTTATCAGTGGAACATCATTTTTCCTTCCCTTTCCTTTTGTTTGGAATTAGTGTCTTCCTTAGTTGCCACGTGTACCGATAACATTTAGGACCTTCCATTTGGCAGGTGGTTATACCAAAAACCAACCAGGTCGGATTGATTAGTTAATGGGGTCACAGCTCTCAGTTGTGATTATGCCAAAAGTAATAGTGAGGTCTCAACTCAGTCCTTTAACACGGGGGACATGGCGGTTAAGGTCATCTCATTCATTTTCTCTCTCTCTTGGCATTCTGTGCTATGCACCACTAAACCTCCCCTTACCCCTTTTTCTCCCCAAAATGGTGGTTGCGGGATTCGATTTCACATCACTATTGGAACAAACCAGCTAATACACCAAGGAGCCACCTCTTGGTTGGTTCTTCACATTCAATTTCAATTCCCTCAAAATATTGTGGGTTTTCTTTTAAATTAAAAAAATAAAAAATCAAACATGGTGTCATTTAAATTCACCCACAACAAATTAAATTTTCAAAACTAAAAGTAATTTAATCACTCCCATACAAAACATATATAGGCATCTTTTAACACCAGCCCTATTGTGCTTATAATGAGGTCACCAGACCCAAAAATAAAAAAAGATGTTGTTTTCTTACTTGGAAATTTGAAAACAACAAGAAGCACAATAGAATTTCCACAACAGCTTATTATTTCTCCTCTTCACATTGCTTTTCAATCCCTTCAGAATTTTGTGGTTTTTTAAATTAAAAATAATAAAAATAAACAAACATGAGGCTATTTAAACTCAATACTCTGATTCAATTGTTGAAGCTTGAAACATTTTTCATCTTAGTGCATCAGTCGTTTGAATTTCAGGATATATGCATAATTTTCGTGTATTATGACATATCGATACTTTGAACTTTGTCCACTAACCAATTAATTTCCTTTTTGTTAGTAAACTAAATGTAATCACTCCCCTTGAGGAGGTCAGTGCTTCTGGAAAAAAAAGGTTGTCCAGATCCAAGAATGTTGTTTTTTTCTTTTTTACTTAAAGATTGAAAGCAACAAGAACCAGAATGCAACTCTGAAAATCTCAATGTTGATACTTTGAACCTTGCCCACAACCAATTTAGTTTCCTAACTAAATCTAATCACTCCCTTAGCACCATCGAGTCTCTCCTTAGTTGTGTTTATAAGATGAGGTTATATTTATTTTAAGGCTGTGCTTTTCTGGAAAAAGCTTGGCCAGACCCAAACAGAAGAAGGAAGCTGGTTTCTTACTTAGAGATGGAAAAGAACAAGAACCGGAATAGTAGAATACAACTCCGAAAATCTCAATTTGAATTCCAAAAATGGTATTAAAATACAGCTGACTGTGAAGTTTTACTCTTTCTGCTGTTTTGGTAATTAGTATACAAGAAAACAAGATGAAAGAGAAACCTCGTGCCTTGAGAAAACAAAAACAAAAAATCAAAGGAGGTTGGCGGGTTTATTTAATTAATATTTTCATCGTGTAATTGGGTTCTTCTCCTTTTGGCCGGTTGAATAGGAACTCCATAAAATTCACAGCAACATCTGCAGCTAAAAAGGCTTCATTACTTGATACTTCCTGGGCCCTTCTTTTATTATATTAAAATAGACTCCGCCCACAACCTTCAGAAAAATATTGTTAAATTATATAGTCCTAACCTTCCTTTTACAGTTTACTGGCCACCACCCTTCTGCACATTCCTGACCCAATCTATTGCCAAAGTTCTGGACTGGACGTTGCCCATTTCTCTGCCTTCCATTTAATATATCTTATATTCATTATCCTACCCTGATTCAAAATTTCAAATAAACCGATCCTGGATTTTTAACAGATTCCAGTGAGTTCAATCTGGTCTAAAAACAGTCCAGTCCAATAATTCTCAGAATCAAGTTGAACGAACCAGAAACTTGACGACCAATTCACTGCCAAGTCAGGATGACTTGAGGGAAATGAATAATGGGTTTTTGAGTAAATCCAAGGGAGAGGTTTTCAATAGGTGTTTGATGTATTTTCAGGTTTTCAGTAGGTGTTTCTGTGAGAGGTTATCGACCCAAAGACTGAAAGATATTCACGGAGACAACATGACCAAATGTTGTGTTTTAGGGAAGGAAAATGTGGAGGGAGAAGCAATCGCTTTCAAAAAATATTCGGTAGAATCCTTTGTTTTCTGTTGATTTTGTTGGCTTTCTTTTGGAAGGGAAGGTGAAACAGAATAGAAAAAGCTGTTTGTTTTTGATCAAAATTGTACTCTCTCTATCAATCTCTCACACACAGTGGCACCCACACATACCACATGCCTGAACAAACCCATTTTCTCCTGACATGAGATATTGAAGAGAGGCTGATTAAAAAATAAAAAAATCAAATTTTTAGTTCTTACCCATGTCAATCCAGAATCAAATATTAAAAAAACCAATTTGAGATATCGAAGAGAGGCTGATTAAAAAATAATAAAAATCAAATTTTTAGTTTTTACCCATGTCAAAATCCAGAATCAAAAATTAAAAAAACCAATTTGAATTTTCTTTTTGTTCAACTTTTGTTGATTTTCTTTTCTTTTTTCTCTGTTTTTTAATGTGTGGCAGAGTTGAAGTCGTTCATTTCTAGTGGCATCAAGGGGGCCTTTTTTTTCCCTCTACATTCTACACCCACCTGTGTTTCTTAAGGCCACTTTTCGGGACTACAAATTCACATCCACCCTTCACTTATCTCTCATGTTCTCTCTTCTCTTCTCCACCTTTTCTCTCCTCTCTCCTTCCCCATACTCGTCTCTTCTATCCTTCAACTCTCTTTCTCTATCCCCTCAGTCCCCACAACTGGGATTCATTTAAACAGCTTTGCTTTATACACTCTTCTCTTCTCAAACCGTAAGCGCCCCTGTTTCTTTCTAGTTTCCAAAAGCTTTAAGTCCTCTGTTTCCCCTGTTTCAAGCCCACTTTTGTGGGTCTATTTCCTTCTACACTCTCCAATACATCTCTCGGCGGCCAATCTAGTTATGTCGTCGACCGTGTGCCAAGGATTGCAGTCGTACGTCGAGCCCTGGCTCGTGGAACCACGAGTCATGGGGCTGAATTTGGCTCCACCCAGAGAGTACTTCGCCCAATCCGCTCGGACATGGAGGCCATGCACGTCAGCTTCTGACACCGAGGACCAAGAACAAAAATACAACAATAAGACGATCAACCAGAAAGCTTACCATGACCAGGATGGCAACAACATCAGCCCCATCAGCTCAAATGGTGACTTAGGCAACTGGAGCTTCATCCAAATTCTCAGCAATACCTCGCAGGGTCCTGATCAGGAAGCGAAGGACAGGGACAGCCACTATGTCCCTCCGCTCATTATGCGTTCTTCGTCCACGCTTAACGAGAAAAGCTTGGAACTCTGCACCGAGAATTTGGGTTCCGAGACGGGTACCGACATTACTGAATACAACAGTGTCTTGTCATCCTCATCCGACTCCGAAGGCGCAAGATCTCCGGCGATGGAGCGATCGAGAGCACGACAGCTTTTCGACGAGAAGAAGTCGAATTGTCACGCCTTCCCACCACCCTTGACGTCTAGAAGCGGTTCCAATTATGTTTATTTTAAGCCTCAGAGGGAAAGTGGTAGGTTAGTGATGAAAGCCATCACTGTCGCTGCCCCACGCACCAATTTTCAAGCTGAAAGGAGTGATGGCCGCCTCAGGCTTCACTTCACAAAGAATTTTTCTTCTAATTTTGACCCAGAAGCCGCCGAAGAAGAAAACGAAGGAAACATTGAAGAAGTAGAAGAGGAAAACGAGGTTGAAATTGAAGAAGAAGAAGAAGAGGAGGAGGGGGAGGAGGAGGAGGAGGAGGAGGAGGAAGAAGACGACGATTGTGACGTTAACCTGGAAGAGGAGTTATATGGCAATAATGGAAATGTTGGGAGTGAGATGGGAATTGGAAACTTTCAAAGGCCGAGCAGGTGCAAGGAAGGTGGGCGAGGAAACAAACTGTTGTTGATTCGGGAGCCTTGCTGGGTAGCAACATCTTGACCGAGTTTCAAACCCTAATTCTTCTTCTTCTTCTTCTTCTTCTCTCACTTATTATATATACAGATCTTCTTGATTTATTTTTGTTAGTAGTTCCTGGTTTTTTCTTCATAGATATCTGAATCTTCTTACCCATGTTGGTTTTTTTTTGAAGAATATTCTAATGGTAGTTATTATCGTTATTGGTCATTTCCCCTCTTCTTCCTCCTTCACCCTCTTTTCAAGTTTCCTCCCTGCATGCTTTAACATGTCAATATGACTTTTGTCATGATTCCAGAAACGCCCTTAAAGGACAAATCTCAGTACAAACATGGACCAATTAATTGGACAAAGGACAGAAACCAAATAAATTTGGACACGATGAGAAAGGTGCCAAATCAGAAATGCAAATTAGTGAAAAGATGGGTGGGGATTAACACACTGTGGATTGAATCTGTTACCCACAAATTGTTCTCACATCTCTACCCACAAAAGATTCGAGTCCGAATCAACAATAGTGCAATTTGAATATTTTCTGTACATTTAGATTTTTGCTTTATGCTACGGTTCATACATCATGGATGGGTTTTGCCAAGATTATTCATCATGCTCTTTTTCTTACTGTTCGTGTGTTGGCCCAACGGTTCTGTACCCATTCATGAACATCAATCATGAATATTATTAAGGCTCAGTTTGGATTTGGAAAGAGTATAAATATAAATATATACAATGCAAATACATATAAAATAATATAAATTTCAAGGTTTTACACTGCATATTTGTAGGTATACTCTTTCAAAACTGAGCCTAATGGGTTTTGTTTTTGTGTTTTCTTTTTCTTTTTTTTTGGTAATTTAAATCTGAACTCGAATTTCCTACCCACAATGATCCTATCCACACTTACATACAACATACTACAGCTATACATGGGGTTACCATTCATGGGAAATGTTCCCACTGTACAGCTGTAGTGTCCTGTGGGTAGGAGATCTGGATTCATGGGACCTACTGTAAAAGATATGGACCCCATGTATTTTATTACTGGTGTAAAACCTTATCATTGATTCCATAACAACCTGCTGAACAGCCAAAGCCTTTAGCTAAACCTTGCTCCTATTTAAGATGCCATGCAAAAGGAAATAGCCTCTCTCATTATGTTTATTTTGTGCTCTCCAATATAATGTGAAAACTTAGAATGATATAATTTTAGAATTTCAACAAATGAATTCAGTTCTAATGTGTTTAACGACTCTATATATGATTATACCAATTTATTTTGATCACACAATTTACAATTCAGCCTGGAACAAAAGCATATACTATGCAATTAATATGACACAATTTTTCTTTCTTATATTGCTTTTGCTTAAGAAAAAAGAAGTGATATGTGATAATCAAAAAATAGGAAAATTTTCTTAAAACCTCCTTACACTTTTTATATGAGCCAAAACGCCCCTATAATATAATCTCCATAAAAACATAAATGGAAATGAATAATAATAATAATAATAATAATAATAATAATAATAATAATAATAATAATAATAATAATAGTAAAACCATTCTCACAAAATGACAAAGGAGGCTTATATGCAATTTTAATTCTAAAAATACCCTTGTTTATCAAATATGAGTACACCTCAATACACTATAGCCAACTAACTAAAGAGATCTTCACCAAATGTTATGAGACTTGGATCAGAAAAGATGGAAGGACCACTAAAACAGGGAATTTGCAGCTAAAGTGTTCTTTTTTTTTTTTTCCCTTTTTGTATGTTAATTTAATTTCTTTAAAATGTTGGCTTTGTCAAACTTGCCTCATTTCCATGCACTGCTTTAATATGATATTTACTATTAGAAGTGAAGACCCTCTATAGGTGATAAAATTAGAGAAATTAGATTGAAGTGGATTAGTCAAGTACATAAAATACCCTCTATAACAACTATTAGAAAAAAAACTGATCTATTACAAGTTGAAAGAGTTGATAGTATTAAGGAAGGATCAAAAAAGGATTTCAGTGAAAGTAATAAGAAATGATTTAAATACTCATAATTTAACAATATATATAGATTTGACTTTTTAAAGATAATTTACAACAATTTTCAATTTTTTATTATTTTATTTTTCAAATTTTATTTGAATAAGTCAAACAAATGAACTAGATCGTTGAACAATTTAACCAATGACCCAATTATCAATACGATTCTTGCTTGGCTCAAGTATGGCAATATTGTATTTGCATCTTGACTAATTTTGAAAAAAAAAAATCGAATTAAACATCTTGATCAAGCCTACTTTTAAAAAGTAGGACATATTTCAGTCAATTTCAAAAAGTATATTGAAAATTTGAGTATTTTTAATATTGGTCATTCAAATTTGTTTTATATCRCCAATTCTAAACCTGAACAAAGGAGGGGGGTTGTATYGGGTTGGTAGTCAACACTAAAACTTTTACCAAACTCGTTATCATAACAATGGATATGAAACTAAATAGAATAGAATGGTAAAACATGACTCATGTAGCCAATCCCATATAGTTGAGACAAGACTCAGATGATGATGATGATGATAAGTGGGAGTTTTGCCTTAAATATGGTAACTGTAATTACACAAGTGATACTCAACAGCCTCATTCTGAATTTAAGCTAACCTAAACTCCTATTATATTTTTAAATAATTCATTATGAACCAACTAGTGATAGAGTAATACATTACAGTGACATCTTTAACATTGTTTAACTCTTTAATGACAAATGCACTTTCTTAATTGTCAACCAATGAAAAGCAAACCGTCTAACATCAATGCAGTTGCCCTGTTGACCAAACCTAATCTTTTCTTTCTCTCTCTCTCTGTGATTCTCCAATCTTGTTCCTCATGAGTTCAAACTCCAAACTACTTGCTCAGTTGCTCAGCATCCTATTTATGGGTTCTTTGCTCACGTTTGATTTTCTCCAAAATGGGTTTTCCATGCAAATTCTTTGAATAGTCTAAGCTTTTCATAAATTCGAATTCGGAAGTTTAGAAGCGTGATCCAATTGAACATGATTTTTGGGATTTTATATCAAATCAAATTTGAATGAATTCCTATTTCATTTTAGTACAATTCAATCACAGCCCTAATTAGAAGAAGTTATATTTCTGTTTAATTCAGTCATGCATTAAGGCTCATAATAACCACAATGAATGGTGCAGAATCTATGCTTTCGGTTTCACTTTGACCAAGGCAGTTGAATGGCAGTCGAAATCCAAATTGAATCATATGTTCTTTGTCTACCAGGTTGAGTCCAGGAGCTCTCTGTCACAATACAATGTAGAGGAGATTTTCCCCCTTTTGTTTATCTGGATGAAAGAGGCTCAAAAAATATCTAAATATGTTTATCCATGAAGAGAGAGAGAGAGAGAGCTTAGGTAGAGAGAGCCGAAAAGGACAGCTCAAATGTGGGTGATTCAGAGGATCCCTCATTGGATGGATGGGTTGGGCTCTGGATCTGGAATGAACGTCAGTGCCCCATGTGACAGAAAAAACCCTGTTGAGGACTTGAGAGCCCACAACGACAGTAACCTTTTCTGTTTTTTCACAAAAAATTGTTTGTTATTCAACTTTTCCTTTTTTTTAGGGTACAATACAAAAACCTCCCTTAAAGTTTTGACAATCATAAAAACATCTCCTCTAGTTTCATTTTAACAAATACTTCCCTTGAACTTTTGAAAAAAAATGAACAGAAATCTCCCTTTCATCACTAACCCAGACAGAAAACGTTAGACCAATACATCAGTTTTTTTTAAATACCCATTCTACCCTTTTGTCAATCTCTTTCTCTTATAATCTCCCATTCTTGAACTCCAGTAATTAGGAACCTTGTTTAAAACTCCATCGACCCAAGAAGAGAGGAACCCTAGAAGAATATTTATCATTTTCTCCTCTTTTAATCTCCCGTTCTTAAAACTCCATTGACTCAAGAAAAGGTAGAAACTATCGTTGACTCTTTCAACCCTGAAACTTGCTCCAGTCAGGAAGGGAAACAACATTTAACCACCGGAGTTTGTCTGGTGGAGAAGTGAGGCAACGTTTCTGGTTTACGCACAGGAAAAATAGATAAAATTTGAACTTTAGCTATAGATGAGAAGGTGAACTGTTGCAGGTGATTGTTCTTAACCGGAAGGTTGGTTGAGAAGTGTGTTAATCAATTTAAAGGCTGCCTAATCTTTTAAATACATCTTGAATTTATGATACTGGTTTTCTAGCGGAAATGCCAAATCATGAATTCTTGGGTTTGATTGCATATCAGAAATAAAACTAATTGTTAGGGGTGTCAATGGTATTCGAAAATCCGATTTCGAATTTGATATTCGACATAATCGAATCGAATTTGGATAATTCGAATATCTAATCGATCGAATTCAGATATCCTATTCTTATCGAATAGTTAATCGGATTCGAATTCGGATATGACCTTATTCGATTCGATAAATATCCGAATTCGACCGATTATTTAATTCTTATATATAATATATAAAATATTTTATATAATATATATAATAATTGAGTTATATAAATAATTTATATATTTTATATCAATAAAATATTTATTTTATATATTTATTAATTATCTAAAATAATTAATTAATCGAATTCGAATATTAATTTTCAATATCCGTCGGATATCAAATCGAATTCGGATATCGGATTTTCTAATCGAATTTGAATTCGGATATTGCTTGATCCGATTTGAATTCGATCCGTTTACACCCCTACTATCTGTTACACTGTTCAACTTTTTCCCCTGTTTTGCTTTTGGGTTTTATGTATTTATGGACACTTCTAAATACATCTTCTTTTCTCATTTTGGGTCATACAAAATGTCATTTATTGAATCTCTGATTTGGTTTTTGTGGGCTTCAATGAATTTGTGCTTTTATTATTTCTATGTTTTTGGATTCAATGAAGAATAACTCTATTTGGTCCCCAATTTCTTATCGATTGGCTGCTGGTTACTCAACTTACAAGTCACCAATGATGTT